ATGAATATAAAATCAAAATAAATGATAAAAATAATAAAATAATAGGTGGAAAATCTCAGGAGTCATGGGTCCTATTAGAAACATGTTTCAAACAAGAAAACATGGGCTCCTTTGGAAAAAAATGCAAATTTGATCAATGTTGACTTTTGACAATTTTCCAAAAATTGCCAACTTTGACAATGCACAACTCTCTCAATTTTGACCCTAGGAGGGGGTTCTTGGACTTTTTAGAAATCTTAGGATGTCCCTTAAACAACCCGTTTTGTTTCATCTCAATTGGATCTTCCATATTCATGTATGAAGCTTTGACCCAAAAGGTGTTTTTGTTGACTTTTCAAAAAGACCTATAATGTAGAAATTCATATATTTTGATGATTGCATATTTTGAACTTATGGGATGAATATGAATTGTAGGGAATTTCATCCTCTTCAAAATGAGCTCTGGATGGAAAATTTCTGATAAAGTATGAAGAAGTTATGCTTGGTCAAAGTTGGGTTGACTTTTACTAAGAAACCCTAATTTAGCAACTTTTGGGTTTTGATGAATTTGGAGCATTCCTTGGGGAATCATGATCAAACCTTAATCAAATTATGAAATTCACTTAAAAATGTTAATGTTGACCAAAAATCTTGAAGTTTGACTGTATGTGGGCCACAATTGACTTTTGACCTAATACAGTCGATTCTCAAGCATTTGAGCAGTTTATTGAGCAAACTTCTTGTGCAAGGCATGAAAATTGACATGTAGGGTCTTGAGAACATATTAGGAACATGGAGAGAACATGAGGCCTTTGTGGTTCACCCATCTTGATGAAAATGGAAACCCTAATTTGAGGTACACTGCCTTAGGAGAGAGTTTGTCTGGTCAACTCTTGGGCAAACTTGAGCAAATTGAGGATCTCTAGGAGTATGTTTTTGAGTAAAATGAGAGGGAAAATTTTGGGGTACAACAGCGTGCATAAACGATAGTATTTTATAACCGGACGAGTTGTCGACCAGCATATCGATATTAGGTAAAGGAAATGCACCTTTCGGGCATGCCCGATTAAGATTGGTATAATCAACGCACATTCACCATTTTCCATTATTTTTCTTGACAAGTACAACATTTGACAACCAGGTTGAATATCGGGCTTCAGAAATAAAATTTGCCTCTAGGAGGTCTTTTACAGCTTTTTCAACAGCCTCTGTTTTCTCCGGAGACTGCCTACGTCTACGTTGCACTATTGCCCTAGCAGCTGGATCAATGGCGAGTTGGTGACAGACGACCTCAGGGTCGAGTCCGGGCATCTCTGCAGTGCTCCACGCGAACAGGTCGGCATTCTCGTGCAAGCAAGCTTTGATTTGCTTCCTCGCCAAGTCGGGGAGTCCGGTGCCAATCTTCACTCCTCTGCTTGGGTCTTCACCGAGGGGGATGAGTTCGAAGTCCCCGTCCGGAATTGGTCGAAGGGGGACTTGCTCGCCGCTAGGAGGCTCATCCTGGTTGAAACGAGTGTCCAGGGATATTGAGTCGACCTCTGGAGGGGCTCTCTGCTCTTCCTCTTTGACGGGCTCTGGCCTCTGAGGTTCTGGTCGTGTTGTTGCAGCTCTCTTGGTGGGCCTTCTGCTGGTGTCGACCGTGTCGCGTCCCTTGGATGCCGCGTTAAAACACCTTTAGGAAGATGCTAGGTCCCCTTGGATGGTGGTGACCCGTTCCCTCTTGGTGTAAAACTTCATTTTTAGATGAACAGTGGAGGGCAATGCGGTCAGCTCCGCCAATGTCGGCCTTCCTAGAATGCAGTTGTATAGGGAGGGGTAATCGATGAAGAGGAAGCGTACCTTGACTTGCCTCGTTTTCGTATCCTCTCCGAATGTAACCATGATCTCAACGTATCCCCATGGCTTGGAAGTTGAGCCGTTAAAGCCCTGCAGGTCCGACCCCACGTAAGGTGAGAGGTGAGAGTCGTCGAGCTGAAGGGTTCGAAACAGTTGGTTGTACATCACGTCGACAAAACTTCCTTCGTTGACGAGGACGCGGTGTACGTCGAAGTTGACCATTCTAGCTCTTATCAGTAGAGGGATGACCGAATTGGGGGGCCCTTCGGGGAGCTCCTCGAGATAGAAGCTGATTGGCTCCAATCTGCCCCTCACCTTTTCAACGGTCACCGTTTGAAGGGGGAGCCGTGTCGACAAACTCGTCCAGCTTCCTCTTAGCTGAATTTATGGTCAGATCATTGAACCCTCCACCATTGATGACCATGGCAGAGGGGAAGTTTTCCCACCTGCTGTGCATCGACAGAGGTTCTTGTATGTGATCGGGGACGTAGAAGTCCACAGGTCTTGTGACAGAGAACACGGTTTGAATGGGAACTGACTCGTCAGATGGCCGGACATCCTCTTTTGCTTCCCTCATCTCGCGGGCGTCATGACGAGGAGCTTCGTTTCGCCGGTACTGTGCGAGTCTCCCCCCTTTTATGAGGGTCTCGATGGCGTCCTTTAGGTGGACGCAGTCTTCGGTCAGATGCCCGTGGCTCCGGTGGTATTGACAGTATTTGCTCCGGTCCACCCTGGGTTTGGCAGGAGCTGGTCGGGGACGTTTGACACCGCCATCTTTAAAATCTGTACTCGCACACTCCACTAAGGTACGCTCGCGGGAAGCCGTGAGTAGAGTGTATTCTGTGAACCGTCCTGAGGGTCCCCTCTTCTCCCGGGCATCCCGAGGTTTATCGTCCTTTCTCTTTTCCCAGGTTCGTCGAGGAGGGGCGATATCTTGTCGCGGATTGCTGCTGGATCCGTGATTTCTGGGGTCTCGAGCTCTGTTGGCCGCTTCCCTTTCCTCGTAGTCCATGTAGGCTCCGGCCTTCTCAAGGAGGGCATCGAACGTTCGGGGTGGTTCGATGCCCACGACTTTCTTGAATTCGGTGCTGGGGAGGAGCCCCCTCTCTAGTAGGTATCTCTTCATATGGTCCATGCAAGGGACCTGGATGGCTTCCCGGTTGAAGCGGTTGATGAATTCCCTCAAGGTCTCGTTGTGCTTCTGGATGATGGCCTCGAGCGCCGCTTCAGTCTTCGGGTGTCGTCGCGACACAGTGAACAAACTGATGAACTGGTTCTTCAAGTTTTGCCACGAGGTAATTGACCCCGGGGTGAGACCCTTGTACAAGTCCATATTTGCTTTCCTCAGGGTCGTGGGGAACAACCGACATTTGATTGGTCCTCCGATGTTGTGGTAGTGTAGCATGGCCTCGAATCCGTCTATGTGGTCGACCGGGTCGGCGATGCTGTCATATTCTTTCAAGTGGGGAGGATTCTCCATGCCCGGGGGAATGGGCGCCTCCATGATAGCTTGTGACAAGGGACTGTGGGGGTCATCCTCGTCACTCTTTTCCGGGGAGCGGGATGGGGATCTGAAGTATTGTCGGTCACGATGGCCCTGGTCGCGCGGGATGTTCCTCGAGCGATGTGACCATTGATAGATTCCTCCGTGTCTGTCTCCGGGAGGTCTTCGTTCTTGCCACGAAGGGCCGTGGTCGCGCCTTCCCGTCTCGATGAGTGGTTCTCTCTCCAAGGGGGGCCGCCGCCCGATTGGTCAAGGCAACGGGCTTCGAGAGATATCCTGATCCTGTCTCCACGGGGGAGATCGAGTATGTTCCTCCGTCCGTCGAGAAGGAGGGGATTAAGGCCTCCTGTGTCTTCTAGGGGGCCTTCGGTCGTCTTCAAGTGCTTTCAATCTTTCCCCCTGGGAAAAGATGAGAGAGTTGGTCTGGTTAATCTCTGCGAACAGTGCCCTAGTCGTGGCGTCTGCCCCAGCGGGGACAGGAATCTCGTGGAATTGGACAGCTAGATAGTTCAGAGGAGCTGGGTGATCTTCTTCAAGCCGAGGAGGGATTGATGAAGACGAGGCCGTGACTCCGTCTCGGTAGTTAGAAGGCCCGAGGATGTTGCCACCGGGGACCGTGTTATGGCCGGTGATGCCGACGTTGTCGGGGCCGACATTATTGTCGGTGATGTTGTTGTTAGCTTCAATGACGCGAACGTTCTGGTTGTCCTGAGTCTGGTCAGCCATGACAGTCGGGGATGGTTTTAGCTTTGGTCTTTTTAAGTTAATAAGACGGGGAAGCTTAGATTCCCACAGACGGCGCCACTAATCGTACCTGATCAGCGTTGGACCGTCACATCTGGCTTTGAATTGGATTTGAAGGAGATGGGGGGGGGGGGGGGTACCTGCAAGACACTCCGATGACAAAGTGAGAGACAGATTGAGTAAGCAAGTAAGTGTGTAGTTGTGAATGAATGAATACCTGACCCTCTCGAAATAGAGGGTATTTATAGCCCCCAGCGCTGGGACAAGGTCCCTTTATTGGGTTGATCAAACAAGCCTAATAAAGGGACTTCCAGGTTCTACGTGAGTAGTGAGGACCTGCACGTGGTCCCCTACCTGGATGATGCTCTCCACAGAATAGGAAGGGTAAAGACACAATCTTCCCAGGACCCTGAGGACTCCGTGAAATTCGAAGAGGTTGAAAGTATGCCCTACGAGGAGGGTACTTGAGCAGGGCTTGGATTAGGATGTTCCTCGTCTGGGACGTCCCTTGTCGGGGACGTTCCTCGCAGACACCGGGGTGGCGTAGTCGCATTCGACCAGTCACCCATGACCGGAGTGTGCTCGGAAGATCTAATGCTCATCGTGATATGTTGTGAAGCTTAGATTGGACCTCACTGGTAATTGGGCCACGGACAGGCCCGGTCCAGAACAATTTTTATTTAAAAAATAATAAAAATCACGCTTAAAAAAATTCTATCTAAATTTTTTCTTTTTCCTCAACTTTAACAAAAAAATACTCTACTTTGATCGGGTTTAAATTTCAACTAAGTTTTTTTAGATATTTAAAGTTGGTGTTGGTGTATAGATGTTGATATTCTCCTCACGGGTTTGGATCATCTCCTACTTTTTGTCTCATGTTTTCATTCCGCTCTCGTCTCAACTTATATATGTTTTTTTTGTTGTTTTTTTTCCATTGATGGCCAATCAACCATTAAATTGGAAAAGGAGAGATGGCAGTCTCAAAAAGACAGTAGAGAATCCATATGCTCTCCTCACATTCATCTTAAAAGCTGCAGGTTAGTATTTTTCTAAAAAAAAAAGTACATTTTTTATTTATTTAATATTTGATTATATATCATTCATTTTAATCTTTTTAATGAAATTATAATTTTAATATGATTCTATTATATTTTACTTATTTATTTATTTTGGAATTATTAATATAGGATTACAACAAAATTGAAAACATGACTACAAGTCTAAATTGGGTTTGTCTTCCAATTTATTCGGCCCAATTACATCTCTAATTATCATTCTAGCTAATCTATGTGCATCTGTATTATTTTTTCGATTTACATGAGTAAATCTAGTCTCTTCAAACTTGTTTATGTATCTCTTCATCTTCCTCAGGGTACCGTTAACCTTAGATCTGGGTATTGCCACCATACATGCCTTGCATCATCTCAATGATACTAGAATTATTTGATCCGAACACCACCTTTCTGTAATCTTTGGATATTGCACTCTCCATGGCCATGCAAATTTCCATAGCTTCCGCTTCCAGAGGTTGATTTGGTCCCTTCATTCTTCTGGTAGCCGTGTTGATTATGTGGTTGTCCTTTTTAGTGAAGATCACACTTAATCCCAAGATTTCATTGATCACCAAGCTAGCATCAGTTTTACATCTAACCCAATTGAGTTGGTTTTTGTTATGTCTTCCCGCTTGCATGCAGTTCAATTTTTCATAGTTTCCAGTTTTGCTACTTAGAGCATCCACATCTATCATATCCATTTGGGTTCTTTAAATGGGACCCACATAATTTTTTATATTATTTCACACTTCTCAATTTTTTAAACAACACATCTACAATTCTCAAATATCCATGTAACTCATCAAAAAAATCTAAAATGGGTCCCATATTTAAAACAAATCAACTACATTCTTGCAATTTTATTTATTAATTTATTATCATGACCCACTTAATTGGAGTGTAGAAGCGTGTTTTAGTATGAGGACGTGCTTTAGTTCAGGAACGTGAAAACAAGTGAAATATCCATTTATTATTGACACAATTTCTTTAATAAATGTGTAGGAACTCTCAAAGAACACCGATAATCATGCTCTTATGGTTTCATTGTCACTGGGTTTCATAGTAGTATGAGCTTTATTCTTGTCTTTGTTGTTGATATGTTGATTGTGATTATGCTTTTTCCATGCTCATTGTGAATGAGATCTATGTTGATGCTATTCGTGTTGTCTTTCAAATGATTAGGATTTTATTGACTCCCGTCTACACCATTGTTGTTAGTTAAGTGATTCTGACTTTTTTGGTTGTTGGTTTTTTCCTTGTCTTTGTTATTAATGCCAATTCTGGTCTATTTTTCTCTTCTCCAGGTATTTATTGTTTTGCTCCTGGTTGTTGTTGTTGTAGCTTTGGTTCTTCTTCTGGGGTTTTTGGTTTCTCCTTTTCTGAAGAACCTTATTGGTATGTTTTCCATCTTTTTTCTGTTGCGTAGTGTTATCCTGAAGGTCTTTTGTGTGTCTGATGTTGTTGATGTTGTCTTCTAGGTGCTTAATGGATTCCAATTCTATTTATATGCTAGTTTGATTGGATCAAGATCCTAAGCCTCTACATATGTTATTGGTAAGCTCCTGCCTAGTGATCTTGTTCTTTTCTTCTTGGTTGATTTGAGTTTTGCCTTTCTGATTTGTGCTTTTTTTATTGTTGATGTTGAGTTCTTTCTCCAACTGTTTTCAGTCTCTGTAGTGTGTCTGCCCATGATATATGTATTGTCCTTCTGATGAATTTGGTTATGCCTTTGTCTTATCATGTTCTTTATTTGCATTATGCTGACTCCCATTTTCTTACTGTGATTTTCAGGTTGTTATGTGTTCTGCCTAGTCTGAGTGTTGAGGTTTTTTTCCAGATTGTTGCCTTTCCAGTTATTATTCCTCTTGTTTTGATTGTCTTGTTTAGTGATTTTGCTGCTCTGTTGGTTTTTATTATTGTAGTTGATGTCATTGTCCTTCTTATAGCTGCAGGGATTAGTGGTAAGGAAGTTGCTACTGTTGATACTGGCTTGGTTTATAGCTGCCATGACATGTGTTTGTTTCTTGTTGTGAAGTATATTGTTTATGGTGTGCCAAATGATGTCTATAATGTTCATGAATTTGTTGATAGTTTTCTGAGGCATGATAATTATGTTGTTTTTAGACCAATTGATAAAACAATTATAAGTGTTCTCCCTGAATTTTAGATTGAGTTGAGATCCAAACCAAAGTTGTTGAACCCAATTGCAACCACTAATGGAATTTTTGGTTGGGAGTGAATGAAGGGAATCAGAGGGAATATTTAATAATTTATGTGTTTGGTTCACATTTTAAGAAGGGGAGGGGAGGTAGATGGATTTGACCAAAATCCCTCTTGAACCACTTTTTGCTGCCCTGTGATTTGGGGGGATTTGGAGGGGAGGGGGACATTTCATTTTAATCATAATTATATTTACATATTTAACCTTATTTATTTATTTAAATATAAATTTAACTTATTAAAAAGTTCTATTTGAACAAATTATATCTTCCTATTATGTTTCTTCTATTTTCATATCTTCATCTTATTATCATTATATGTATTTAAAGTTTTTTATTTTATTTAACATATTTAAATATTACTTTTTACTTTTCGTAATTTTTTTGTTTATAATAATTTTTGTTATATTTTATTATATTCGATAATATTTTTAAAATTATATATCATAATTGTTACATTATTATAAAATCTTTTATAATATTCACTGGTTGAATTCATCATTGAATTTGTATTTTTGAATTATAAACGGTGAATATCACGAGTCTTCTGATAAAATTACAAGGATATAAAAATAAATTAGTTTTAAAATACCTTCCTTCTCCTTGTGAACCAAACATATTTGTAAATAAAATATTTCTTTTCCCCTCCTCTTTCTTATTTTGAACCAAACATATATGTAATTTAAATCCTTCCCCTCCCTTGCTATCACCTCCCCCCCCTGATAAAAATATCTCCCCTCTCCTCCCCTCCCCTCCCCTCAATTGAACCAAACATACCTTAAAGCAATGGTTTATAGTCTCGGTTTTGTTGTTACACATAGGGCATATGATATCTCTATTTATACCCATGTTGTTGAGAAGTTCTTTTACCAGAATGAGATCATTTAGGATTCTCCAAAGTAGAACTTTCTGTCTCGGGTGGCTTTTGCTTTCCATATAGTATTCCATATTTTGTATTCTTTATGATTGTCAGAAGTCTGAGTCTGATATTTACTGCTCCAGCTTTCTATGTAGTAGTATGTTGACTTAACATTATAGTTGCCATCCTCGTTGGCTCTCCAATCAAGCCATTCCCCTACCCCCAAATTGAGAAGGGGAATATCCAGTATTGCCTCTGTGCCTTTGGGAATGAATGTGGTTTCAAGTTTAGATTTATCCCATTGGCATGTATCCTTTTCTATAAGGTCCTCCATTTTATGATTAATAGGGTCAGAAGGTTGTTTAGTGATAGGTTTAAAACCATTGTAGGTAGGGATCCAATTGTCAGTCTATATGTTGATATTAGTGCCACTGCCAATTTTCAAGTAGCTCCCCTTTATGATGAGTTCAATGCTATTATGGATACTTCTCCATAAGTAGCTAGGCCTTCTGCCTATTTTAGCTTTAAGGATGCCTTCTTCGGGGTAGTATTTGGATTTTAGGATTTTTCCACTAGAGTAGTAGGATCAGTTTGGAGCCTCCATATTTGCTTAGCCAAAAGAGCTTGATTAAATTTGTGGAAAGTTCTGAAACCAAGCCCTCCTTGCCTCTTAAGTTTACACAGCTTGGACCATTTAGTCCAATGTATTTTGTTGCTTCCCCACCAGTAGTTGGCAATTAGTTCTTCCATCTTTTTGCAAAGGCCCTTAGGGAGAAGGAAGGAGCTCATGACGTAAGTAGGTATTAATTGAAGGACAACCTTTACTAAGACAGTCCTTCCAGCATAAGATATTTTCTTGTCTTTCTAGTTGTTAAGTTTATCCCTGATTCTGTCCAGAATATTATTGAAACTGATATTCTTAGAAATGCCTAGACGCGTTGGAAGACCCAAGTAAGTGGTGATTTACTCAACCTTAGGAATTCCAAGGGTGTCGTTTAATACATCCTGAGTCTGCTAGCTTGTTCCTTTGCTAGACATTATCTCAGATTTGCTTAGATTAATTTGTTGACCCGAGTTTTCATGATAGGTGTTTATTATGTTAAGTAGGTTCCTAGCCTCGTTTTTAGTTGCCTTGTAGAAAATTAAACTGTCATCTGCAAAGAAAATATGGGTTATTTTATGAGAGTTCTTAGCGATTTTAACCCCTTCAAAAGTGTTATTAGTTTGAGCATTAATAATAAGATTGGAAAAAATATCGGCACATAGAATGAATATTAGGAAGATAGAGGGTATCCATGTCTTATGCTTCTATAAGGGATACAAATTTCAGTAGGGTAGCCATTGATGATGATGGAAAAGGTAACCATTTTGATGTAATTCATAATGAGATTGGTAATGGCACTACTACGAAAAAGGCATTTAACAACGGTTGGAAAAGATATATAATCACACAGTTCTAGGCGTTGTTATGTGGAATGTTGTTGTAAATGTGTTACTTACAATCACGGTCCTGGAACCATTATAGTATACTGGAAAGATCGTTCGATATCACAATGGTTAGTTAACTCAATTATTGTGATCAGTGTTTTAAAACCCAGCCCGACCTGGCCGGTCGGACCGGTCTGACCGAGAACTGGTGGACCAGGCGGTCCGATTAAGGGATAAGACTGGAATTACATTTAGACCGGATGAAACCGGTGTGAACCGACCAGATCACCAGTTAAACCAGTGAATCGACGGTTTTTACTGAACCGGCGGGTTTGACTATTTATTTTATTTTTTAGGGTTTTTGAAAAAAAAATTAACTTTGCCTCCTTATTTCCCAAACCTAGGCATTTGAAAGGTTTTCTTTTTTATTCTGTCTTTTCTTTTTATAATTGAAGTCATATTCTCAATTTTCTCTACCAACAAAAACTCCCACTTGCTGCTGTTATTTGATATTCCTTGTTTGCCGTAAAAAATTTCATCAAAACATCAAAAACAGGTTATTTCTTTTTTACTTGGTCTAATTTGCATTGATGTTTTTCAATATGAATATTATTGTTTCATTTTGTTGATTAATTGATATAGAAAATAAATGATTAAATTTGATCATTTTCTATAAAATTAGGTCTTTTAGTTTAACAAATTGAGATAGAATTTGTATGAATGAAGCAGTTTTATACTGTGAATCAAGAAAAAAGCAACACCAGAGAAGATGAAGTTGGTGGAGAAGACAATGAAGTTGAAGATGGATATGAATATCAAGATTATGACAATTTAACTTCATGGACATAAAAAATTATGGATCGTTGAGTATGGATTTTTGTTATTTATTATAATACTATAACTTATGAATTGTTAAGTTTCTATCACTTCTTTGAATTTATAATTTGCTACATTAAGTTTCTATCACTTATTTTGATTGTTACTAATACTTTTGTTTATTCTAAATCATTTGAATTTATAATTTTCTATATTATTATAGTTACAAATTTCAGGTAATGAATATATTTTTTTTATAAAAACCGGGTCAAAAGCCATGCGGTCTGACCAGTGACCCACTGGTCCGACCAGTAACCCAGTGACCCAGTAACTTTACCGAGTCGATCACCGGTCTGAGTTTTAAAACATTGGTTGTGATAGACCTAAAGGTTCCAGGTTCAATTCTCAACAGTGACATTTTGAAATTTATATTATTCTGGTCAGCGTTCAATATACAACCACAGTTAATGGTTATAACTAGGGGTGTTCAAAACCGAACCGACCCAATAGAAAACCGCAAAACCGAACCGAACCAAAGCGAAACCGCAAAAAACCGCATTTGGTTCGGATGTGTTTGGGTCATTTTCTCGCAGAACCGCACGGTTCGGTTCGGTTTGCGGTTTGTATTTTACAAACCGAACCAAACCAAACCAAACCGCACTATGTTATCTAATCTTACTAACCAATATATATTTCTTTAATTCTTTAGAGAAATAAACATGTATTATGTGTATATTTTATCATACTTTATATTATATTCATTTTAATTTACAAATCATAAAAAATTAAATATTATTCATTTATAAATACTATTTACACAAAATATATTTTATCGTATTTTTTGTATAATATTTATTTAAGAATGCAATCTTGATTATATCATTCTTTAGATTTAGATAAAATTATAATACACAATTTTATATATCAAATGATAAACTTATTTTGACAATTATAATTTTTTTATGATAATGTATGAACAATTAAACACAAAATTATATTTTCCTCTATATTTGTATGTATGACTTAATAAATTTTTTTGTAAAAAACCGAACCAACCGAACCAATCCAAACCGCATTAGTTTGGTTTGGTTTGGTTTGGATTTATTTTTAAAAGCCAACCGAACCAAACCGAACCGCATTATTTTTTCTCTTGCGGTTCGGGTGATTTTTTGCTTCAAAACCGCCCAAACCGCACCGCGAACACCCCTAGTTATAACCGTTGTCAAAATTTCTACTATTTTAAAAAAAGGAATTCTCTGCTTTTGAAAATTTTCCCATATTTTAATATGTATCTATTTTAACCATATCAAAGAATTAAAAGCAACCTATATTTTTGTTAACCATACATAAAGAGCATAAAAAACAACCTACATTTTGCATCAAAAGCAAAAAGTAATATTTACATCAAACACAAAATATGTTATTTACATCTTCAATCTCAAAAATATATCAAATATATCTATAAATAAAATAGTAGGAACCTTAAGCTCATTGTGGATAAACGACCAATGTTTACGAATTTCTATAAAGTCCTCAGCAGGGAATGATGTTTCGTTGTTAAACATCTACATAAAAAAGAGCAAAAAGTGAATATCATGCATGATATTAATTGAATATCCAACTTATATATGATATAATATAATCATTTTATGACATATATACTATATATTGTATCCCATGAATCAACAATGCCAACAAAGACAATGTTTAACATGTGTTTCATGACATAATACACACACTCTAATCCCCTGGTTGTTTCCTTGTCTACAAATTTAAACAATAATTTCATGAATATAACCACACATGAATGTAACAGTATATATAAATGATAGAAATAAGTAATAG